GACTTGTTTTGACTGATTATGTTCAAATTTTAAATATTCATTATACATCATGTCATAGATAAACAGATATATTGGTTCGATGATCCTATTCAAAATGGCCGAATGGTGGTCATTTTTGTGCTAAAAAATCATCAAATATCAAGCATTTCTGGCATTTATGGATCGATTTCGTTCAAACTTGGTACATACATTAGACATTACGGGTTCCTGATGCACATCATTTTATTTTTCAGATTGGATTCAAAATGGCTGAACTTGTACTTGTTTGACGATTAGATACAAATGTCCATCATTTTAATGTTAAAAAATCATATTTCTGACATGGTTATATTCCAGCTATATTACTATAAACAAAACTATATATCTTAAATTTGATAACTAACGGGGACTGTGACATGCATGGCTTGTTTATTATGGACTGGATACAGCTTTTGCGACCTGAGGTCGTGCGACGGAAGCACCCTATTCATTGACGATTATCTTAGAAATTACATCAAATTTGTCAACGAGATGTTTTTTTACATCGCGGAAATGCATGCACTCTGCCCCACTATCTGTGTTACCTTGATCAGAATTCCCCTAGTAACCCAGCATGCATTGGTCGCGCTGTCATATTCGGTTCTAAGGCACTCTATGAATGAGGTATTTCCAGAGGTCAGGGTTAGTCTTTCTCCTGCTGTCTCATCTGCAGTTAAATAATTTTTGCTTTGATTTATTAACAGTTTTCTTTCCAGTGCGACTTGATTTCACTTGTTTTTTTAAATATTTGGTAATTAGTGTCACCAGCGATTTTGTATTAAAAACTGCAAATAGTCGCAGTGAAGTAAAACGAAATAGATATTTCTGACGTACGCTGTGTTTGTAATTTGTGAGACTAGCTTTGATGCTGTTGCGTGCAATGGGCAAATTATTACTACCCTAGCATTAGTTTTTGGTTTTTGAGGCTCTGCACCCTTGAAAGACTTCATAACTTCAATTTGTATCATTGTCTTTGTATGGCTCACAAAAGCGGGATTACCTTTCGATCAATACATGTTATTGTTTTAAATTTGTGCAAGACGAGACTGACACTTGTAAACTAAGCAATAAGCATCACAGGTGTGTGTCCAAGCGCCACTGTACCGTGATGCCTCAGAGAATAGTTGTCGAGCAGGTTCTAATGTAAGATCTGACTTGTAACTGCTAATTATAATTCATGACTCATTTTACTACATACATGTACATGTGGTAAAGTTTGCAATGCAAAAGTATTCATCAATTATATAATTTTTTTTTTAGCCACCCCAATGACTCCTTGTGGAATTCCTACATTGTCAGCCACCTGTATGGACACTCCACCATTGACACCACAGAGCGGAGTGGCAGCTCCACCGCCCCCACCTCCTCCTCCACCACCACCACCACTTCCACTGACACAGTCACGCTTAGTACCAAAAAAGGTGAGTTGGTTTATCTTGAATATATATTTATTGTCATGGTACAGTGCAGTGACGTTTGTCTGCATCATATTGGTGTTCAAAATTGAGTGATATTACCTTACTTGACCACGTTAGTGCCCATGCCCGGCCAAGCGCAATTTTGATAATTTCGTGGTCATATTCGGCATAGCGTCCACCCCTTCAAAATGCAACCAATTTAAAACTTGGTCTTTGATAATTCCGTAGCGAATCTTGGTAATCGTTTTTATATGATACAGCGTAGATATCGATTCAACCTGTTCGTCAGTGGAGATAATGAAGAGAATTTTGACTTTCGACTGTGTTCCAACAGATCTCTATATTTTTAATCTCGTAAATTCGCATGGTATGTAAAAGTCAATGATGCTGCAACTAATTTCGTAATTTGATTTTCCCTCAATGACGTAACATCCCCCTCAATTTGTCACATAATGAATTAAAATTTTCATTTGCACTCTTTTCTGAGAGGGGTGCTCGGGTAAGCGCCCACCCCTAAAAAAAATTTGATTTTCTGAGTCACCTACCAGAAAGTCCGTGGAAATAATAAATTTCATTTATTACTCGTAGGCTTAACTACAGATTACAGCCCCAATTGGAAACTATAGGGAATATACCCTGTTCACAAAGAACACCTTAGGGTAGCATTCCCTATGGGAAAAAAAACCTCTCCTAGGGGGCCA